CTCCGCCCCGCTCTCGCGAGAGCCGCGGGCACCGCCCGGGCCCGCCCCGGGCACCGGCCTGGCCTCGAGGCCGCGGGGCGCAGCGGCCGCTCCGGGCGGCCGGGAGGGACGCGGGGCTGTGCCCGCGGCTGTCGGGAACGGCTCCCGGCGGTGCCAGGAACGGCTCCCGGACCGGCGGTTGGGCCGGGTGGCGGCCCCGGAGCGTTGGGGGTTACAACGAGCTGGGCCGGGCCGGGCGTTAGCGCGGGTGCGAACGGCCCCGCCGGGAGCGCGGGCTGATAAAAACGCGCTGAGCTCAACGCTCTGAGGCACGGGGAGGAGGAGATTTTGGGGTGTCCTGTGCAGGGATAAGCGCTGGGCTCGGTGTCCTTGGGGCTCGCTAAATTCTCCGCCTCAGACGCTGCCCCGGCATCAAACGCGGCTCAGCCCTCAGCGCTGGTGCCGAGCCAGGCAGGGCAGGATTTAACAGCTCTGCTCGGCGCCTGCAGCGCCACAGTGCAGCCAGCCCGAAATCCTGTGGCTGCCTACATTAAGCAGCCCCAAAAAAAAAAAAAAAAAATTAAAAAACAACAACGAAGCCAGAGTCTTTCTTGAACTACTGAATAATACGGCTGACCTGTTCATTCTTGTTGTGTATGGATATAGGCACTAAAGCCCTCACAAGAAAATGCAGGGGAGGTAATAAAGGAGCAGGATTCTTTCTTGTGTCTGCGTGAGAATGATGTTTAGTGGAGGAGCTAATTTACTCGAGCTCCTCGTGCAGCAGCTGTAACGGGAACAGCAGCCGGTGTATTTGTGGTTTTCTGCAGCAGAAAGCTGGGGTTTGTTATGAGGGAAAGTTTCTCACACCAGAGATGAATTTAGGGATGTGCTTTCCTGTGTCACTCCTCCCTCCCACAACAACAGCAGCATTGTCCCAGGTTCTGTATTCTTGGAGCGCACATTGATATAAAAAGCACCATTAATATCATTTTTATCCATGGATTTGTAATGTTTTTTGAAGTCGCTGGAACACGTGGCTTGTTTTGTTATCTCCAAGGCGGTGGAAAGGCAGCCAGCCCCTTCCTGTGCTCATTTGCCTGGAAGAAATACCTGTTCTCTGGGACACTGTGGCTTTGAAATAGGATACTGCCTGGAATCTTCGGGGTAGCTTCTGACTTCAAAAAGAGACACCACTGCAGCTGGGAGAGGAGTTGATCCTTAAAATAATGAGAGGTGTTAAGGAGTTAGTGATGTTTAATAAAAAGTTATGGATAAATGTGATCAGCTCTGCTCTCTCACCATATCCCAGCATTTTTCTACCCTGCAGCCCTACAGAAAGGTAATTTGGTGGAATTACGGCAGCAAAGGAAAAACAATTTCTGTTTTCCTCTGCTTTACTATTGTTGAATTAGGTGACACATGAGGGTTGAACAAGGTAATTTGGTGGAATTACGGCAGCAAAGGAAAAACAATTTCTGTTTTCCTCTACTTTACTATTGTTGAAGTAGGTGACACATGATGGTTGAACCATCATGTGTCCCTACTTGAAATATCTTAAATTTTTACTCATTCTGTAGCAACTAAATAAAAATTTGTGATTTTAAAAAATCCACCTTTAATCTGTACAAAGGGTTCTTTGTCTAAACAGAGCCCAGAGTGAAGTGAAATGCAGAGTTCCTGTTCCTTCAGCTGTGGAGGTGTGTGGAGAGCAGCAGTCTCCCGGTGTTCACTTTCCACATCTTTTCAAACCCAAACAGAGCTGTTTGCTCCTCCTGTGATCAAAGGATGCTCGCTTGCATCTCTGGGTTCTTTCAGAGGCCTGGGCAATTATCTTGTGTTCACAGGCTGAACACTCAGCATTCACAACTGCACCAGCTGCTTCAGGGCAGAGCTCTCTGCATTTGTTATCCACAGCAGGCAATGAGAATTGTCTCTCATTAATTCACTGGTGAACAGCCCACAGAATCCCAGAATCATTTAGGTTGGAAAAGACCTCTGAGACCATCAAGCCAAACCTGTGACCGATCCACACTTTGTGAACCAGCCCAGAGCACTGAGTGTCACATCCCGTCATTCCTTGGACACCTTCCAGTGCCTGACCACACTTCCATGGAGAAATCCCTCCTGATGTCCAACCTGCACCTCCCCTGGTGCAGCTTGAGGCCATGTCCTCTCTTTGTGTCACTTACTGCCTGGCAGCAGAGACCAAAGCCACCTGGCTACAACCTCTAACTCGCTCCTCAGGCCTTTAGAAGCAGGAGAAGTCTCAGGATGAGAAGCTGGCCTTGGTAAGAGGGCTGTTCTCACTCAGGTGATCCCCTGGGCTGGCTGCTGTTGTGGAACTGGCACCACCAGCCCTCCCACGTCCTCCCAGCTTCAGCCGGTGCAGTTGGCAGCTGGGTGCCCTGTGCTTGTCCAGACACAGCTCTGCCTGTCACACCCAGCTCGTTCTGAATCACACCGACAGGCTTGTGCTCACAGGCAGAACTCGCTGCAGGTCCTGGGCTTTAAATATTTCAAAAATAAATATCCATGAGTGATTTTGCATAAATGAGTAGTGCCAGTTCGTTCACGAGGGAGACCTTTCTTCCCTAGGCAAGTCTAGGAAGTGTTTTAAAATAAACACATCCACCAGTTACCAGAAAACTCTGCTGTAAACTGACAACTGTTTCTAAGAGGTTGTTGCCAGTTCTTGCATCTGTCCCCAGGATAATACAGGCTGGTTTGCTTTAATCCTCAAGACTACATGGCTTTAAGCTGGAAGCAAACAAGCATGAACTCAGCATGGCCACAGCCTGTAATCCTCAGACTTTACCTTTTTGCTGGCCAGGGGCTTGGAAAACTTAATAAATTTATGACTCTTCCACAGCATGTCTGTCTTAAGGAATCTGATTTAGAGGCTTACTCTCCAAAGGTTTGATTCATCACTTGTGATAGACAAGGAGAAATATGAAATAAGGCCCATGTGTACTGCTGTAACTCCACTGACACTGGACATCTATCATCAACTACCATTGGTATTCTACTCCTAAAGTATTTATACCCCATTATTGAATTCCTCACAAGTTTAAAGTGTATTTCTCCTCCCAACGACTTTATGAGGTCAGGAAGAACTGTCACAGTCAGGAAAGGGAGCACAGAGGGTGCTCTGCTCTGGCCTTGCAAGGAAGACTGAGAAACTGAGCAGTTCCCTTCTCAAGCTATTGCCAGAACCCCAACCCAGCGCACTGCACTTCTTTCCATCTGCACCCTGTTTGTTTGCTAATAAAAATTGATACCAAATGTCCCCCCTTGGAGACAGCTGGCAAAATACAGTATTCAATGTGCTGGTCTGCAGGTTGGAGCACTTGGTATCTTTGTATTTTCTTATGAAGTGTTGCTCTTATTACCTGCACCACAACCTCCAACAACTGCTTTATGAATTCATCTGCAGTTGAGTTTATCCTTCAGAGCATCACACTTTATCTCAGGTCTTCATTTATATTCATCAGTGGGGATGGAAGTAAAATTTAGCTTTAATTCAAAGGCTAATTTAGGTTTCAGTATATGATTAACATTCCACAATTACTACCATCAAAGTCAAGCATATGCATAAGTCTCTGCAGGACTGGGGCCAAAACATTTTCAAGTATCTACTTATTCAATACATTTTATATAAAGAAATATTCTTATCTATTATTTATGCAAGGGCCTTAACTAGGTAAATCTTGACACAGCTAGGCCTCTCTCTCCATATAATTACTCCTCATCTTACTTTTCATCTGGTTTCTGCTCTGCCTTGTTATCTAATTCTTTGGGTATGAACACAGTTCACTAACTGTAAATACAATTTACTCTCAGGAGCAGCAGGAATATTCAGCAATCTCCAAACCTAAGTTTTCAGGATAATGTGCAACAACTCCCAACAGGTAAGATCATCAACTGCATAATTTGGTAAAATGAACCATTAGAGAGTAATCAACACTAAATAATAAAAAGCTCTGCTAAATTATAAATTATTGCAACACATCCAGGAAAAATACTAATTTTTCCATTAAATACCATCATTCAACTACAGCAAACAAAGTCCAGCTAGTCCACTCAGCCAAAGTGGAATCACCAAAACTTTAATACTACATTTCTGGCATGCAACACATACATAATTAAACAGTTAAAAAACATGTACAAGTGCAGTACGCATAACGCAAAGGCAGCCTTGCTGTGGATTGTGTCTATCAGGATGTTCACAGCACCAGTCATAACATTCGCTAGCAAGAAAAACAGTAATTGATTTTTGTTAATAGCACTAATCAGGCACAGCTGTGACAGCTTGTCTTGCCTCCCCACCGGCTCGGCCTCCATTCCGTGCTTTTTCCCGGAATCGGGGGGCTGCACAACCTTCCAGCAGCAGGGCACGCTGGACCCCTTGACCAGCAGCTTTGTGAACACCAGGGCGAGGTCAGCGAGCACAAAGAAGCCCAGCAGCAGCAGGCAGTGGGCGAGCACCCAGGTGCAGAAGGGCAGGTTGGCCACGCGGCGGGACACGGGCTCCATGCACGCCTGGCACAGCCACAGCAACGCCGACAGCACCACAACGGCCAGGGCCAGCCCCCCGAGGGCTTCCAGCCAGCCCCTCACCGAGCTCCTGCGCTGCAGCAGCCACAGCCCCACCTGCACGCTCGCCAGGTAGATGGCCAGGTAGCCAAAGAGGGAGAACAGCCCTTCCCGGTTGGCATCCAGGAAGCCGAGCCGGGAGCCCCGGCCGTCGCTGCCGTGCAGGATGAACGTCTTCAGAGAGGTAGTGCTGAGGAGGAGCTGGTAAGGCACAGCCACAGCTAGAGCCACAAGCCAAGCCTTGTGTTTGGGGAATATGGCTAAAAGCAGAGAGGCTGCGAGTCTCACCAGTGCCAAGGTAAAGAAGAAGTTCCAGTGCACCCCGTACTCCGAGGTGTGCTCGTGGTACTCGATGGATTTAACGCTCAGCAGCCGCCCCGCGCCGAGGGAAATCAGCGGCCACACGGAAAAAACCTGCCTGGCCAGGCTGGAGAACCTGGGCTGTGCCGTGTGAGCCTTCTGCCGAACCTCAGGGCAAACAAGAGCATTTCCAAAGATGAAGGCTCCCACGCCGAAATCCATGGCTCCGGTGCCGTAGGTCTCGGCCTTGGCGTATCGCCGGGGATACTGCGGGAAATCCACGGCCAGAATGCTGATGGATGTCAGCACGTTGACATAAACACGGAACACAGTTATTGCTGGAATGCACTCGGGGTCCAAGCAGGCCTTCTGGAATTCTTTTACAATTTGCCCAAAGGGAGCTCTGGCCTCCCGTTTTGTCTGGCTGTATATTTTGGAAAATATTCCGGCACAGAAGGCAGCAAGGATAACTGGTACGAAAAAGATGATTGGAGACAAAACAGTGCAGGACAACACGAGAGGAGACACCAGCACCAAGAAGTCCAGCAGCAGGCTGTACTTCCTTGAGCTTAGAGGTTTTCCGTGGTGCAGGTAGTACAGGATCAGGAGGAGCCCTCTGCAGAGCAGGCACAGTGGAGGCAGGGACAAGCCTGCAGTAATTTCCAGCAAACTCGTTCCGTTCAGATTGCTGATAAAGGCTTCTTTCAGCTGTTTTTGGGACATTCTTCTTCCTTCCTCTGAAAACACAATACGTGAACTTGAGGTAGCTTTGTAAAACGGGTCTCAGAACTCCTTAGAAATGAATCAGTTCATTAAAACAACGTTGATTTCAGGAGTTACTGAATTGCTTTTCAATTTAAAGAACACAGAGCAGCACTGGAGCTGGCCTGGGAAGCCAAGGACGGGCACAGGCTCGAGGAAGCTCCAGCATTTTATATCCTGATTTTACATCCAACAAGATGCTTCGTACATTTTGGAGGGAGATCTCTAAACATCAAATATTCCACCGAATATTCACACGGCGAATAATCTTACTGCTCCGTAGAACGTACTTTGCCACATCGTCTATGGTGCAAATGGCACAGATATGTAAAAACCTGCTCCTACAGAACTTCGTGCTGCCTGGTGAGTACAACCAGCAGCCGCAGCCCCCGGGTGCCTTTTTACAGCAGCAGGAGAACCCCGCGGGATGGAAAAAGCGTGAATTAATCAGGGGTTGTGCTCAGCCGCGGGAGCTTACCGGGAGCGGGGGCACGGATGGCGCTGTGGGGCCGGAGCGGCGGGGCCGTGAGGGCGGGAGAGGCGGCCGCGGGTGAAGCCGGGCCCGGGGTAGAGCCGGGGCAAAACGGGGCCGGGGTGAAGCGGGGCCGGGTAAAGCCGGTCCTGGTAAAGCGGGGCCGGATGAAGATGGTCCCGGTGAAGCCGGTCTCGGTAAAGCCGGTCCCGGGATGAAGCGGGGCCGGATGAAACCGGCCCGGGGTAAAGCCGGTCTCGGTAAAGCCGGTCCCGGGATGAAGCGGGGCCGGATGAAGCCGGCCCGGCGTGAAGCCGGCCCGGCGTAAAGCCGGTCCCGGTAAAGCGGGGCCGGGTAAAGCCGGCCCGGGGTGAAGCCGTTCCCGGTAAAGCGGGGCCGGGGTGAAGCGTGTCCGGATGGAGCCGGGGCCGGGTGAAGCCGGGCCCGGTAAAGCCGGCCCGCGTTCCCCGCCCGCACTTTCGCCGCTTCCGCAGCGCCCGAGCCCCACCCCGGTTCCGCCTCCCCGACCCGCCCGCTCCGCTCCCGGCCCCGGCCCCGCTCCGGCCCCGCTGCCGCCCGCGGTAAGTCCCGAGCCGGCCCTGCCCTCCCGTCCTGCCCGGCCCGCCTCAGCCCCGGCCCGCGCGGCCCTGAGGGGACCCGGCGCCCGCCACCCTCGGGGCCCGCCCGTGTCCCCCGCGTGTCCCCCGTGTCCCCCGCGTGTCCTCTGTGTCCCCCGCGTGTCCTCTGTGTCCCCCGGGATCTGCCGGCACAAAGGCTCTGCAGGGATGGATCGGACGGGGCTCTGGGGATGGGAGCGCGCCCGGGACTCCGAACTGACTCCAAGTGGTGTTTTCATGGGTTAGGAAGGAAATTCGGGATGGGATGGGAATAACAAGGGAAGAGGAGGGGGAATGGAATAAGAAGAGGAACTGGATAGGAATGGAATAGAGTGGAATTGGAATGGAATTAAAACAATTAGGGTATAACAGAACAAAATTAGAATAGAATTAGAATGGAATATAATGGAATTAGAATAGAAAAGGAGTGGAAGTAATGGCAGCTTCAGCTGCAGGAAGGACAGAAGAATTCTTCCTGGCGGTGTGACTGGAACCTCAGCGTTTATCACAGAAATTCAAAGGGCCTGACTCACCTTGGGTTGGCTCCCAGAGATTTTCAGAGGAAACAGGAACGGGACCGCACAAACTTCCCCCAGTCACTCCCCTTCCCAAAGCTCTGGCTTCTCTGCCACCGTCAGACCCTCAGATCTGCCCAGTTTCTCCAAACAGGAGGAACTGAGCAAGTAGTTGCACTTTCTTGCCAATAAAACTTGATTTATTAAAGACAAGCAAAGAATTTTATTCCTGATGGAAGGGAAGATACACAATTCCCTCCAAAAAAGCTTTATTTGCAGGGGCAGCAGCACATGACCGTCACTCTGGGTAGGATTTCCAGCTCCCATGTTACTTGGGCCCCCTGGGATCAGTAGTTCTGTCTGAAGTCTTGGAATTTGCTTGTGGAACCCTCTGGAGAATGCCCAGAGTTATTTTTATCTAAATTCCTTTCTATTTTCTTTATTTAAGCATTCTCCGTGTGTGATTTGAATGAAGTACCCTAAAGTAAAGGCTCTCTCCTGTGTTCCCATCCACAGGCCTGGACAAGATGCCAAAGCAGGTAAAAAGAAAAGCAGGAATTGTGTGTGCTAATTAAATGTTACTGCCAGGAGAGAATTCTTGGCTTATATCCACACAGTCAAGATTAGGTAACTACTAATGAATATTCACCCCTGCTTCATGAATTGGCTGGCCCTGTTTGCTGTGGGTTTGAGCTGTGTTAGAGACACCAGGCAGTGATTTTTGTTGTGCCCTGGGCTCTAACAGGGCAGGTGTTCATGCAGGCAGCAAGCACATCCTAAGGGTGTTTGCTCAGGAAGGTGAATGGACACAAGAGTTGGGATTTATTGCCAAATATTCTTTTACTTTTGGCTGGGCAATCATCATCTGAGCTGAGCAGGGCAGCAGAACCAAGCCCTTCCTCAGGCCTTGCAGTCTCACAGTGGGTTTAACTTGCCTGGTGTGACACAGGAGCACGGGGAGAAAGGGGAATGGGCAGGAACTCCTGAGTCCATGCAATGTTTCCTAATTGTGGTGTCTGTTCTCTGACAGCAGCAAGCTGCTTAGGGCTCATTCAGAGGAGAATAACAGAAATCACTTGGATGGCAAGTTGCTAAGCTTTTTTTTTTCCCCTTACTGCGTAAAATTCTGTATCACTGGAAATGAAGTATTTATGCTGTCTGCAAAAGATAAAAATTCTCCTAACTCTTCTGGCTGGTTTTCCATTACATACAACAAGTGTGTCCTTCCAAATAATGTTGTCAAGGACATGGGAGCCCAGAGGCTGACATCTGAATATTTTAAGTGATTCAAAAGGGACAAAACTTCAGCTAAGGCAGGGCAGCTCATCCCTCAGCACCATTCCTGTGATGTGTGCAGCTTTCCCCCTGAAAATGAGAGTCTCTGCTAGGAAAGCTGCATTTATTTTGGCCTGCAGGGGCTTCCAGCTGTACCTGCAGCCAGCCCTCCCTGCCTCCCTGAGCCCAGGGCACTGCTTGGATTGAATGCATGACATGCAAGGCTTAGAAATGAGCCAGTTGCTAGAACATGGTGGGTGTGTGTGTGTGTGTGCAGAGCTGCAGTGTGAGCCCAAGGCCACGTTCTCTGAGTGCCTTTGCTCACAGCCAGAGCCCTTTTCTAACATCAGAGCAGGAGGAGGGCAGCTGGGAGGAGGAGCAGCTCTCTCATCCTGAGGTCTGGCTCCTGCTGAGACTGAAATTTGGTGACATGGAAGCAGCAGAAGAGCTGGAGCAGGGGATGAGGTGAAAGTCCAGCTCTTCACCTTTTACTGGTGCTGATGTGACATCCCCTCCAGGAAAACGGCCAAAGGGAAGATTCTCTCATCCAGAATGACCTCAGTGAATCATTTGAAGAAGAAGTTAGAGCCTTCCTCGGTGATGAAGAGAAACTGCATCTTTTTGATGACCTCACCAAGGTGAATCCAGTGACAACCAGGACAGGTGAGCAGCCAGGGACTGTCTGCTGAGGGATCCCTTTTCCTGCTGGCCACTGACACGTGGCAGCTCCTGCTCTCACTGCATTAACACCATCAGCACAGCAGTTATTACATATATATATATATTACACCTGCAGCACTCTCTTGATCACCTCATTCTCTATTAAACCTGATAGATAACACACCTGAGACTCTTGTTACCAGCAGGCACAGCAAGGGTCAAACACACTTTGCAAAAGATGCTGACAGAAGGTGTTGCTTTTCAGTTCTGAAATGTCTTCAAGCAAGATACAGAGTCAACCTGTTCTATACAAATGCTGGCTGCAGCCTGGTGGCTTTAAATCCTTTCCAGCCTTTCTCCTGCCTCTACTCACCTGAGCTCATGAGGGAGTACCACGTTGCACTTTGTCCTCAGGTAACCCTTGTGTGTGAGATCACTGACCTTCTGCAGAGCCCAGGTGTCAAACTGCTCCAAATTTATCTGAGCAAAATACTCCCACAGGATAAACCCCATTTCTGTGAAGTATGAGTTCTGTTAAAAGAGCAGTGCTGTTTTCAGGTGAATGTGAGATGACCCTTGCTATCCATTGCTGTTGAACTGTGTGGTTATTGTACTCTTAAATATGAATATTCTCTTTCACTGCCAGGATTTAAAACCTCACATCTTTGCAGTGGCTGAGCAAACCTACAGGAATGTCCAAAAGCAGATGGACCCTGTGAACCAGTCCATCATTGTGAGTGGAGAAAGTGGTGCTGGGAAGGTAAGGAAATGTTTTTCTGTGACATTGCTCTCAAGTTTTGAGCTCTGCCAGTGACTTGTAGTGCAGAGTAGTGCAGTGAATGAGCAAAGATGAATTAAAAACCCCTCTGACACAGCACGTAGCCAATCTGCCCAGCATGACTCTCTTGAAATGTGTGTGAAGCATTAAGTGATTGCTGCAGTTAAACACACTCTGCTTAATATAGCAGCTCTTCAGGTGACATCTGTCATTTCTGGAGGGCTGGGTTTGAATCATTCAGCAGGAATTGCACCTGAGTTCATGCCTCAGTCTGGTCTGTCAGGGAGCTCTGTGAGTCTCAGCAAACCCTCTGCAAAGACTCAGAGCAGTGGATTCAGCTCCTGTGATGGTCCATCCCTGCCAGGACAATGCTGAGGGTACTTTAAAGCCCAAGAACAAGGTGCTTTTCTGAATGTCAATGACTCAAAATCCATTCACATTCATTCCATCCCAAGGCAGTAGCTGTTCATTCTGGCTGAGCTTCCAGATGGTGACACCTCGATGGAGCACTCCCACTGCAGCAGCACTGAAATGTGTGTCTGTGGCACAGAGTTTCCACTGAACCAGAACTCTGAACCTGACACAGTTCCTCTCTTTAGCCTCCCCTCCACCTGCACACTGTGTTTCCAGAAGGCAGCACTGCTCCACTGCCATAACTGGTGACATGTTAAAGAGCTACTGTCACATCTCTCCCTTGCAGACCTGGACCTCTCGCTGCCTTATGAAGTTCTATGCCTCTGTTGCTGCCTCAGTTATCTCCCCAAAAGGCAACGAAACTGTGGAAAGGATAGAGAAGAGAGTGCTGGATTCCAACCCTGTCATGGAGGCATTTGGTAATTGTGGCTTTTTTAGCAGCAAAGTAAAGCAATGGCCACTGTGGGAATTTCCTTTGTTCCCACACGAGTCTAAGCTATTTCTTGCTCCTCTCCTTACAAACAAGCTCTTCAAATACTGGAGCTGTTTACAGAGCACCCTAAATACCTGTATGTATTATATAAATAGAACAGCTATTATATAAATACCTGTATGCCTCTGCTGCATGGCAGAGTGGGACCACTCTGATTGTCTGTGTCTGCCACTGGCAATTTCACAGGGAACGCCTGCACCCTGAGGAACAACAACAGCAGCAGGTTTGGGAAATACATCCAGCTCCAGCTAGACAGGTGAGAATTACTGGGTAAAACCTCACCTGTTGTCTTGGTCCTTTAAATCTTCATTATCTTTTTCCTTTAAAGTTTATTTCTGAAATCTGCCATAGAATATTTT